CTGTGTGTGTGTGTATCTGTGTCCATGTCTGTGTGTCTATGTCCATGTTCTGTGTTCCCATGTCTCTCTGTGTGTGTCTGCGTCCGTATCTATGTGTGTGATATACATAGAGAGAGGCCCAGAGTTTAACTCGTATTTGCTTGTATACACATGGGTCTGATGTTATTTACTGAAGCATAGACAAGTTAGCAATGGCTGGCTACAGCACTGATGAAGCCATTAAATACCAACAGACCCTCAGAGGCCTTTCTTCCTTTTCAGTTGATTAGTGCGAGTGTTTTGTCACATTGATGAAAAGTGACCATGTGTAGTAATTATACGGACCAGAAACAAAGTTTATTTAAGTACCATGTACTGCACCCAATTTTATGTTACACATACCTTTTGGTTTGGGTATTGAAGACAGAGCCTACGTTCTTGTACGTACAGGCAAATACTCTGGCGCTAAGCTCTGCCCCAGTCCCTGTGCTGTACTTTTTATATGATGGTGGCACAGCTGGTGTGTTCACCTCTGCACCAGTGCGTGCACACAGGAGTCATGTGTTGTGCCACATTACGACAGCAGTCAGTGAACATACTGACTGAAGTGCCGTTGATCAGTGTCCATTCAGAAGAGCCACGCACGTCTTTACACTGAACAAGTGGTGTTTGTATTGTGTAAATTATAGATCAATGAAGTTGTCCATATTCATTCCAGAGACCTGCCTAGACCCGCTGGCTCTGAGTCCTCAGGTATACAATCCAGGAATCTGTTTTGTGTTCAGACACTTCATGATACAACCAGATATACTTTGTTCAGAACATAGTAAGGCTTTTGAGAGAGTGACAAAAACAGAGACTTGGTCATGCCTGGCACACACCTGTACTCCCAGCACTCGGGAGTCTGAGTCAGGAGTATTTCAGCTTCCAGGCAAGCTGAGCTACGCACCATGATCCTCTCTCAGAAACAGAACAGCGCGTTAGAAGACTAGAGGACCCCTCTGGATGGGAGCCTTGTGGCTGCACACAGGCTGAGCCACCACTGGCTTCATTCCCCAGTTTGGGATGCTGCATCTGAAGGAGCGTCCCACAAGGTAGAATTATAAACTTTATTATTAGGTGCAGCATGGGTGTGCATATGGCGTGTGTGTGAATGAGGCACATGCAGACCCCAGCACGGAGGACAGCTTCCACAAGTCAGTTCTTGCCTCTCACCTTGGGTTTGAGACAAGTCTCTCTTTTGATTCTGCCATGCAGCATGCTCTAGGCTAGCTGGTCCATGATCTTCTATGTGATTCTTCTAGCTCCGCCTCCTACCTTGCTTTGAAGTGCTGGGATTACAGAGGGGTGCCACTCTCTCTGGCTTTTATCTGAGACCCAGGGATCAAACTCTGGTCTTCAGACTTGTGTGACAAGGGCTCTACCCGCTGAGCCATCTAAGCAGCCCCACAAAGCAGCATTTGTTTTGCAGCTCACCTCTTCATTGGAGAAACTGTCTAGTCAAGCAGGGAATTAAGGAGGAGAATCAGAAATATCACAAGGTATATTTGTGATCTCATCCCTGCAAGAGCAAGTAAGTGTTTTTGGATTGGAGGACAACCCACATGTCAATACTGGCCTTCTACCTCATTTGAGACAGTCTGTTGTCCATCACAGTGTATGCCATGCTAACTGGCCATGGCTTCCCAGGGATTCTCCTGTTTCCATTTCCTGTATCATCATAGGCGCACTGGAATTGTAGTTAAGCCTTACCACTTCTGGCTTTACATGGGTCAGGGGGGGGCTGGATTCAGGTCTTCATGCTTACACAGCAGGCATTTTACCCCCTGAGCCATCTCCCCAGCCCAACAATGTAGTTTTAATCAGAAAACTGCTGTGGAGTCCCCCAGGCCAGGGCTGAGTCATTTCTAGAAGTGTGGGCTTTCAGTGTCTGGAGACAGGCTGAGACCCTAGCTCAGTCCCTCTTCTGCTGATTCCAGTGGAGCAAGACGTTAAAGATGCTAGGCTGAGACAGGCAGTGGCTGTCAGAATCACTGAGCTTGATGCTTGTCATCACCCAAATCTGGGGCACGGTGCAGCCACTAAGACCTAAGCCTTCCTGGCCACCCTGTGGGTCCCATCTCTTCCTGTGAGGATTAATTTCCCACCATCTCTGCTACTCTGCGTCATTTAGCTCCTTATTCAAAGTCTGATCCTGTTGTCATGATTACTGAGAAGGCTTCACATTTCCAGGCAGCATGCTCTGCTTGCCACCAAACACGCATCTCAGATCATCAAAGCAGTCCTCAGGGAGAGTGGGGACATTCTCAGCACATGGCTGATCCAAAGCTAGATCACACGGGTCAGTGAAGGAAACTTAAGCTGGAAAAATAGCTCAAGTGCAGCACCAACCTAGCCACTTGACCTGACCTTTGGAACCAGCTTCTCTACACCATAGAAGTGGTTTGGGTTCTCGTCTCTGGAATGCAATTGGTTGTTGATAATGTGTCAGTCAAATGCAATCCTCCAAGAGCAGTGCTGTTCCACCAAACCTGCTATGCTGATGGGAATGTTCTGCACCTGTGTTGTTCAGTGGAGGAGAGTATGGCCATCGGGCAGCTTAGACTGTGGTTAGTATAACTGAGGAACTGAATTTAAAAAGATGTTTCAGAGGCGGAGTTCAGTGATACATCATGAGCACAGCAGGTGAAAGACTACAGCTTGGTCCCAAAACCAAACCAAGGAGCTAAGTCTGCGGCACATGGCTATCTATCATCAAGCCCTCGAGAAGCTGTGGCAGGAGGAGAGCCATGAGCTCTGGGGCCAGCATGGGCTACACAGAAGAGTGGGAACTTGTCTCAAAACAAAAAGCCAGGGACGAAATATGGTGATGCCACACCTCGAATTCCAGCACTCAGAGAGGCAGAGGCAGGCAGATCTGAGTTTGAGGCCAGCCTTGTCTTTATGGAGTCCGGGACAGCCAGGGCTACACAGAGAAACCCTGTCCCCAAAAAGGAAAAGAAAAGAAAAGAAAAATCTGGGATGATGACATATACCTTTTAATCCCAGCCTTCGGGAGGCCTGGGCAGGTGAATCTCTGTGAGTTCAAGGTTAGTAGGCTCTAAATGTTGAGTTCCAGACCATCCAAGACTACACTCACCTTATACCCAACAAGAATATAAGAATAAGAAAAACATTTCATAAATAACAAGGCTAGTAACAATGGCATGATCTCTTTTGAGGTAAAAAAAAAAAAGGGGGGGATCCTCAAATTTACCTGCCAGCCAGAAGGAGGTGTAACTAAGAATTTGTGGACATTTTTGAAAACTATCACCAGGATTGCTTATTATGGGGAAGGCACCCCAGTTTTCTCTAATTTTCAAGTTCTCCCTGGGATCATTTGTTGATGATTTTTCTGTTCCCCTCATCCCTGATATATATCATATATATATATATATATAGATATAGATATAGATATAGATATCATATATATATCATATATATATCATATATATATCATATATATATATATTTTTTTTTTGAGACTGTTTATATTTCTAATTGGAATTCTCTAAGGAACATTTTTCTGCCTCCTCTATTTCTCTGGGAAATCATTTCTTTCATGATAGTCTCATGTCTGTTTTTTGGTTTTTTTTTTTCTTGGAAAGGACATATAGTTATATTTTATCCTTACTTCCCAGTTTTGAATAGCTTTTCTAGTAACAAAGGTGACCTAAGATAGTGTAAAAGTGATGAACTGCCACAAAAGGGGAGGCTAGCCAAACACTGCCGTTGAGGACAAGGGTGTCTGGGGACTCCAAAGCCTGCTATGAGCCTACCCTGATACCATCCTGAATGCGTTTTGTGTGCTCTTTGACACATCACATCTTCTCTTTCTCTGGACCTCAGTTTTTCTAAAGAGACAATGAAAGTACTGGTTGACTCAAGATTAGTGGTTCTTGTCAGGAGCACGTATGAAAAGGAATGCACAGGCTGCTTCAAAACCAGTACAATGGGACTGTACTGATGGCTTAGCTCATACTCAAGCACTAACATGCTCAAGGTCCTGGGTTCATTCCTTGGCATTGCAACAACCAAAACTAAACTGCTGAACCTATGCTTAGACCATGCAAGTGAGCAGGTGGCACCAAGGCTTAGTGCTTCCAACATGATGCTTGGAGCTGTTGTCACTGACGGCTCCCAGACTCTCTGATACTCCCTCCATCCAGATGCCCACTAAGGACCTTACCAGCTTTTATTCAAACAGCAAACCTTCATGTCTGCCGTGAAGAAGTCCCCATTGAAGTGATCAGACAGGTGAAGACCCTAGAAATGCAGTGGGAATTGTGCAGTGGACACTGAGTTACTGCCCTGTCCTGAGTGCCCCGAGACCTGGTCACTGCCCAGAGAAGGACGAGGGTTGAGCTGAATGATGAAGTGCAAGGTGAAGTCTGGGTTATGACACTAAACAGATGTGTAACCGTGAGTAAGAGACTAAACAACCTCTTGCCTCAGTTTCCCAGCCTACATTCTAAAAGTACAGTGATCATACTTATCACCTGGAATAAAGGAAATGTTCAACAGACATCTGGTGCTACTGGGATTATTTGTTCATGAGACTTTTTAGTGGGGAGTGGGGGCGATGGCAGGGAAATAGCATCTCGCTGTTTCTAGAATATTCCCATTCGGCAACACTATCCAAGCTGGATTTCCATCCTCTGATTTCAATCCCATCACAAACTCCAAATCACATCATAAGATTATATCAATATAATTTATTAAATAGACACTGAGGGCTCCTCCAAGGAGGGTGAACAACTCAGTACATAAATATCAATAAATAAATATAGCTGCCACTTCCGTCCCCCACAAGGGTGCAAGAATAAGATTTCAGTGGACAGAATAAAAACATATAAATAACAAGAATAGTAACAATGGCACAATCTCTTTCAAGTCAGATCCTGCAGTGCAAACTCGCCTCTCCCACAACAGGTACTATCGAGGATACTCGGATTCTTCCCTAGCGCTCTTTACTCTGTCACTCAGCATACACTGTTCTTAAACTCCAGTTTTGCCATGCAGTCTGCGAACTGTTTTAAAACAGTCAGTATAAAGGTTTTGTATTCATGAAACTTGGAAGCACCAGGCCCAGAAATGTTTAATCCCAGTGGCGTAGTGCAGCTGATGTCTTCAAGCCGTTTTGTGACATTGTAAGTATCTGTTCTGTTCTCGTCCAACACTTTGACCTTCTCCAGATAGGCCTTGAGGACTGAGATGTTGGCTGATGCTCCACGGCCCAAAGTGAAGCATGGCAGCTGTAGTGACTCGTTTACTGACACTCCATCTCCCAAGGGTTTGCTCTGTAGAAAGAGGAGGTTTGAGATAATTGTGAGGAAGAGGTTTGCAATAACCCTAGAGATCTGCACCGCTCACTTCCAGTGCTTCCTCTGTGTCTAGCCTGCCTCAGCCCTTATCTAATTGGTACAGCACCCCTGTGAAGCTTGGGGCATCACTCACCCCGTGTCTATAGGGATCCCAGACACAGTTGGCTTACGAGCTAGCGGACATGGCATACCCTCCCAGGTCGGCCACGATTCTTAAGGGTGCTTGTAAGCTCTCTTCCTCCTGCTTCTCTGCCTATCTGGCTGAGGCTGCTCCGGCCTTCTGCAACCTGTTCTCAGAGGCTCAGTGGCTGAGGTAAGTGGGAAAAGGTTGCTTATCTGTGTTTTATGCAGCCCCCTCCTCTTCATGCCTCTGTATGAATGTCACCAATGCCACTTGCTGATAGAGAATGCTCTATGCTTGCCTGGAAAGGTCTCTGAGATGCTAGGGAGAGTTTCTCAAAAAAAATAATCCAGAAAAAAAAAAAGAAAGAAAGAAAAGAAAAACAGAGGACTCAAGGTCCTTTCTTACCCTCCCTCCTCCTCAAAGCTGACAGCTTTTGGGTAAGACCAAATTGCTAAGACCATGTCAGCTTCAGGTGGCTCATCACATCTGCCTTTGAGCCTGTAAAAGCCAAGGCTAAAGCTTAAATGCCAAGGCAGGTGGCATATCACTGTCATTTCCAGTGTGATTGTTATTTGTTTAATTGAAGTTATCTAAGAGGACCTGGGGAAGTGAAGTATTCACACATACTGGGTCTTGGGCTATAGCCCTGCCAGGCTCTGGCAAGGCAGAAGGCCTTCCAGGACGCTCCAACAGCACACAGAGCTGCCTAGTCAGTCACCTGCCTTTAACCAGAGGCATCAGAGACCCAAGGGAGGATTTTCACTCCCTGCTTCCACTAGGACATCTTTGGCTCCTTAGACTGGTGGTTCTCGTTGCTTTCAGGAGATTCCTGACACAAGCTGGCCCATCTTCCAGCAGGAATGGTCATTTAGTGGGACTATGAGCCAGACAGGTTTAAGATTTAAAAACAAAAATGGCTACAAGCATGCATCTTTGGGAAGTTGCTGGAGTCTGGGTCCTTGGACTAGCCTGCCTTTGCCCCCTCTGTTAGTGCATTTACCCCCTCATAAACATTTTACCCCATCCTGTCTAATTCTTCCCCTATCCCTCTCTGGCTTCTATACCTGGTTTCCCATCAAGAGAGAATAGTTGTTTTGGAGAGCAAAATAAGGCATTTTAAAGAAGTGGTTTGGAAAAGAAATCTCAAGATTACTTACATAATCTTCGTAAAGTTGCTTAGAATCGTGCCTCAATCTTTCAAGTATAGTTTTTATCTGATCTGGTGTTGGTGCACCAAAGGATAAGCTGCAGATTGCCAGCCAGGTTCCTATACAGCAAAGCACCACCAGGGCAGGCTTCGTTGGTCCTGGAGAGAGAAAAGGATGCCATGAGGTTTTTATGGATCAGATGCCCCTGCCCACCCCAGCTTCAGTCACAGCAGCCTCTGCCCACCAACCACTTGATGTAGCCCTGCCTGTTTCACAACCCTAGAATGATAGGAGCCATGGAGCTGAAGCCATGGTGAGCTGCAGAGCTAGTGATACCTATGTGGAAGATCATGGTGATGGCGAGAGAGTGAGTAAGGCCTGCTTTGCTTGTGGCCTCTGGAGTCTGATGTGTTCGCCATGGCCACCAGGCGATATATAAAGGGCTGGTGTGAGAAAGATCGGAAGCCCGCCCATGGCAAAACCATTGCTCAGCTTTTCTCCAGAAAACACTTTTCAAATGCTGCCAGCCACGGCTTGGGGAAAGCAGGGCTGGAAGGAAATGCTGAGGTTACCCTCAAGGCAGGCAGAGGCTTGAGTCACACGCATATATGCGCATACACACATGCAGATACATACGCATACCACACAGGAAGGCACACGCATCTTGGGCATCTCTTTCTTCTTGGAAAGTGCTTGTTGGCTTAATGAGAGGAAATTTTGAAGCCCAGAGTTGAAGAGTACAATCACTGGGGAACGAGTGTCTTAGGTCAGTGCCCTGCAGGGAATTTTTGGGAGGCCGTGTGTAGGCCGTGAACCATGTGAGAGTCTCAGCGTGATGCATCTGTGGGAGCCCCTGACGAACAGGGATGGTGCTGTGAAGGTGTGGGTAGAAGGCTTCCGTGCTACAGTGCTTGCTTTGGTCCTTGGATTCTTACCTGTGCCTTCATGACTTCTGGCTCTAGAACCAGGACAGGGCCCAAGAATCATTTGTTGGTCGAGTCTTCCATTGCCCAGGTAGTGGGAGTAAGGGGGTTGGGGAGTTAATTGTTGGAACTAAGTAAGGAGGCACACACCTGTAAACCTAGTGCTTAGGAGGCCAAGACAAAGGGTCACAAATCCAAAGCCAGGCTGGCCCTTAGCCAATCACTGTCTGAAAAAAATAAACTAAGTTGTTTAAGCTTTAAAGGAACATCCACTACCGAATTTCAAATCACAAACACAAAGTAGGTGAGAAATTATTTTATCATCTTTAGGATCAAAACATCCTTTATCTATTTAAATTTATCTTTTGTTGTTGTTGTTGTTCTTTTGAGACAGGGTTTCTCTGTGTAGCCTTGGCTGTTCTGGAACTCAATCTTTAGACTAGGCTGGCCTTGAACACAGAGATCTGCCTGCCTATACCTCCCGAATGTGGGAATTTAAGAGGTACACCACCATGCCCAGCCTATTTAAAATTTATTTTACAAAGAGTTATTTGTGGTTTGGAGAGGTGGGTCAGTGGCTAAGGACACTGGCTGCTTTTCCAGAGGACCTGGGTTTGATTCCTAGCACCCATGCGGCACCTCACAACCATCTGTAACTCCAGTTTCAGGGGATCCAGTGCCCTCTTCTAGCCTCTGTGGGCAGCAGGCATGCACAAGGTACACAGACATCCATGTGGGTAAAACACTGTACACATAAAATAAATTTAAATTAAAAAATTATTCAGCCAGACCTGGCAACTCATGCTTGTGATCCCGGTATTCAGGAGGCAGAAAAGGGAGGATTGATGCAAATTTGGGGCCAGCCTTGTCTACATAGTGAGCTGCTGCCCAGGCAGGTCTGCAGAGTGAAACTGTATATCAAAGAAGAAAAAAAAAAGTTATTTGCTAGGCTGGGTCACTGGTGGAGCACTTCCATCACATGCCCTAAGCCCTTCATTCAAATACCCAATTGTTTCAAAAAATATTATTGAAACCATTTATTCCTTTTTTACACAATATTTTGCCTGCATGTGTGCCAGCCTGCCAGAAGAGGGCACCAGATCTCATTATTGATGGTTATGAGCCACCATGAGGTTGCTGGAAATTGAACTCAGGATCTTTGGAAAACCAGGCAGTGCTCTTAACCTCTAAGCCATCTCTCCAGCCCATCATTTATTCTTTTGTCAAGATTTATTTTCTAGTTGGCCAGTGGTAGCTCACATCCTTAATACCAGCAATTGGGAGGCAGAGGCAGACAGATCTCTGAGTTTGAGGCCAGCCTGCTCTACAAAGTAAGTTCCACAACAGCCAGAGCTACACAGAGAAATCCTGTCTCAAAAAACAAAATGAAACAAGACGTGTGTGTGTGTGTGTGTGTGTGTGTGTGTGTGTGTGTGTGTGTGTG